TCGGTCTATTCGGATACAGAGCAGCAAACATGTCCGACACCTTTTGATAACTATTTCCTTGATAATACCATTTAATTATCAATACTTTTTCTTGGGTAATGTAATTCATGGGTAATATTTTTTATGTAGGTATGAGTTTTTAATAATAATAATAAAACACTAAATAGATAAATTTCTGAATTGACAACTTCATTTGACAGTTATCTTTTACCTTGACTGGTGCTCATAAGTAAATACAGAGCCATAAAAAAGGAGTAATATTTAAAAAGAAATCGGCGATAACTCGTAAACGGACTAATCAAAAATATCTAAAATTATTCTTTTGAATGTGGGTTTTAGTGCTCTTCAATAAACATAAATAGAATTATTATCTAAAATAATTAGGGAAGTCAATAATTGACCCCATTATAATTTACGTGGGATTTTCTATGTCCCGCTCGACGATGCAACACCCGGTATGTAAATTATTTAATAAAAAAATATCATATAACGTGAACATTCTGAACTCTATCTCTAATACCGTATAACAAAATAATTCTAATAAATTTAAAACCAAAAAGCTGTATCAAAGTAAAATCGATTTTAAACTCGGAGACACTAATGATATATACCTGCAACCCCCCATAATCCACCCAACCTGAGTTCCACTTTTAATTTTTTTTTTACGTTTAATTTAAAGCTATATCTCCTCTCTAGGTTTTCGTTCTCGTCTCCCAAGACATCATTTATACGTTGCCTGCAAGGACCAGCCCATTCAGATCACGTTTAAGCGGGCCAGAAATTCCACCAGAGCATATTTTCCACTCTTATCCCTATCTAACCTCTTCGTTACACTCTTGGGATTAACAAGAGTGAGGAGAGTGAGGGAAGATAGTTAAGATATCGTGTGTGGAGTTAAAGGTAAACTGACCGTGAAATACGTGATGTGAGTACGGACTGAAACGGCATAAATGTGTATACAGGGTGTTATAGTATTATTTATGCACCAAGGGAAATATAAGTGTGTTAATTAGTGAGGGTAAAGTTTTTATCCCTTCCCCTACAGACACGGTACATTGTGAGACAGGAAATTATAGAGAGAAACAAGCCCTATAACATAGGATACAACATTTTAATGGACAGTGCTTTCCATAAAATCAATAAAATTAAAAATATACGAAATAATGTACATGTACTAATTTCTTTCGAAAATCGACAACTATGAAACTATGCACCCTTCCCGGACACAAACGGTACATTGTGAGACAGGAACAAGCCCTATACCATAGGATACAACATTTTAATGAACAGTGCTTTCCATAAAATCAATATAATGAAAAATATACGAAATAATATACATGTACTGATTTCTTTCGAAAATCGAAAACTATGAAACTATGAACCCTTCCCCTCCACAAACGGTACATTGTGAGACAGTAAGTTGTAGAGAGAAGCAAGCCCTATAACATAGGATACAACATTTAAATGAACAGTGAAATCAATAAAATGAATAAAATGAAAAATATACGAAATAATATACATGTACTGATTTCTTTCGAAAATCGAAAACTATGAAACTATGAACCCTTCCCGGACACAAACGGTACGTTGTGAGACAGGAAATTGGTGAGAGAAACAAGCCCTATAACATAGGATACAACATTTTAATGAAAGTGCTTTTCATAAAATCAATATAATGAAAAATATACGAAATAATATACATGTACTGATTTCTTTCGAAAATCGAAAACTATGAAACTATGAACCCTTCCCGGACACAAACGGTACATTGTGAGACAGGAAATTGTAGAGAGAAACAAGCCCTATAACAAAGGATACAACATTTTAATGAACAGTGCTTTCCATAAAATCAGGATATATCTCGGCTTACCTTTCAGTGAATACCAAAGCCATTTTTATATATTTTTAATTTTCCTCTGGACTAAGGGATATGTTAGCTATCTCCTTCGCCATATATTATAATAAAAAGACAATATCCTTAGTTTAAATAAATTGAATATATACAGTGAGACAGAGTTGTATGTTGTAGATCTTTCTATTTAGTTCAGTTACATTTTAGATTGTAGTAAATCACAGAGAAAGAGAATGAGACGTGTAGCTTCCTCCTAAACGAAAACTGCACTATTTTCCAGAAAATAAGACGTCCTTTTTTTCCGACCTAAATACGATGAGTATATCTTTGCCAACTGGATTGACCTTTTTTGAACGAACTATGCTCTGTTACTTTTGTCCCAGAAACGTTACAGAAATTTGATTAAAATAGAAAAAGAAAGATCCGAATAATTGTAAAAAGCAATTTTCGATATTACGTAACTTTTTTCGTTAGTAGTTCGAGGTAAAACTCGTAATTTTCTATATACAGGGTGGTCCGAACCATTTATTTGGAAAAAATTGAAATAAAAATGAAACTTCTACACCCTGTATCTCCGAAACCAAGCATTTTAGGACATACATTTATACGAACGTTTTACTACTCATTTTTATCTGCAGAATATGCTGCCGAAGTTTCCGGAATACAGTTCGGACCGCCCTGTATAGAGCCACTCTTAAATCAATGCAAAACTACAAAAAAATAATAATATAGGCTCAAAATATTGAGCAAAATTTCTAGAGGTCAGATGGTAATGAATTTTTATACAAACTTTCATTCCTCATTTCACTTTGCAATATAAATGAAGTTTCAACGCCCGGTATCCCCGAAACGAAGCATTTCAATCTGCAGAATATGCTGCCGGAGTTACAATGCAGACCACCCTGTATATTGTTTAAATTTCCTTAAGGATTGAATGAAAATGAGGAATTTTTGTCGTATTTTTATAAAAATGTTTCTAACAAAATTTAAGGTTTTGAAAATTGCATGACCTGGTAAATAATGAAAAACCCTATTTTCAGAAAAGACAGGGAAATAAGTTTTGGTCCCCAGGGTGATATGAATCGTCTGTTACTGTATTAAATATGTAAACTTACATTATAGGAAGAGTAATATATCATATTCTCTGTAAGAAAATGAAAAGTCAAAGCGTCTAAGATGGTTACAAGGAAGTAAAGTATAATAGAGTAGATGTGAATTTGAAATCTTATAGGACCTTAACAAGAAAAATATTTACGTTTTGAACAACTTAATATACAGAGTGGGTCTTGAACAAGTGCAAATATATTTAGGAGTGCTATATTTAGCTCCTAGATTTTTTTGTGAAAAAAAAAATGTCAAAATTTTGAATTTTTCGAAAAAATAGTGGATTTTAGTTCAGTTTTTATTAAAAAAATCTTCATAATATGACAACATAGATAGGGTAGATTAAATTTAGAGAAACGAGAACCCAGAAAAAATCCAGTGGTTCTTAATTTTTTTTTGTTTTCAAAGTAAAATAACAAGGATATATCGAGATCTACCAGCACTGGAGAAAATTTGCACTTATTTAAGACCCACCCTGTATATTTTAATACATGCACTATCTCTAAATACATTTTTTTAACGCGGAATTTAGAATATATATAAAATACTACCAATATGTATAATTAAAAATACAAAAGGCTTTTTAAATTACATTTTAATTGATTATCTATTATTTTTTTGTAGTAGATTTACCTCGTTTAATTTTCAAACTCATCAACCTCCTGTGTATAAAACACAAATTTTAATTAAAGGATTTTTTTATGGTTATGGAAATCCACTATTCGCTGATATCGAGCACACTCTATTTTATCCCGGTAAAACATATCAATTCCATTTAACAGATTTTGCTTTTTGTTGCACTATTTTGCGCAAAAAAGCGATACACCTATTTCAAATATCATTTATTTTAATTAAAAAAATAGATTGTGCCATTAAAACGTATTAAAACGTTTCAGATATCCATATTACTTTGAATTACCACTTATTTACGTTATATTTATTTAAATTTGCCACAAATAGGAGCTTATTTTGTGTAATTCCCACATTTTTTTAATATTAATGTGTGTATATTTGGTTGCCTGAAGCAATAAAATACATGGGGAAGGGGATTTCCATGAAGTCGTCTTATTTCTGTGGGTCGAGCTACGCAATACGTCCCGGAATGATATCGGCTCAGCCGAAGTCATGTAAAGAGGGGAAAGTGATACAGGACCGTACTTTATTTTTATAAATTTATTCAAAAATCAAGAAAATCGTGATTGTGGTAGATTATAAAAAATATAGATTATATTATTTATCTGTTAATTGTTTTTCATATTTTTTTATGTATTATTTATTACTAGACATTATTTTTAGAACTTATTATTTTCATAAAGTTAAAAATAATAAAAAAAATTCTTAATTTTTTGAACTAAATAATTTATATTTTACAGTAAAATAAAATTAACCATAATAACATTTTTTTGAAATGTTATTTTTATAATAATTGTAATTACCAACAGAAACATCTAATAAATGATAGACAGCAATTGTGACTCAATACACTCTCTCATTAGATAAACTATATCAATAAATTTTGTCTAGTCAGTGACAAAAGTATTGTCACAACAGGACAGCCAAATATTAGTAGAAAATACAGTTTAAGAACTTCTTAATAATTTTATTTAAAATAAAAAATTATACACTAAATAACAAATTAATTAAAAACTTGCTATAATAATAATATACTCTAAAAGATTAAATAAACTTATTATTCTACTAAACACAAAAAAAATATTACTGATTTCGAAATCGAAAACAATTAAAAATTTGCAAGTACCAAATGCAAAATGGTGTACAAAAAGTTCATTTACCTAACTTTTGCATAACTTGTCATTCTCTAATGTATATTATTCTATAATAATCTACCAATCGTGTATTTCAACCACATAATATTAATATTTTTTATTTGTCAAGCCAGTTAAAGCCAATTTATTTTTTAATTTAATATAAATTTTTAAAAAAATATTTTTTCAAAGCTGATTACGGTCCTGTTCCTACCTTACGCGTTTCGTAAACGTCCCTCCTGTCAAACAAGAAAGCCGAGGGCATCGCCTAGCTTGAACTTTATCAGTGCGTGTCGTCAGCCATTTGCGTTTAGAAGGTTTTTTAATCGTTCCGCAAAAAATCGTCGATTTCTTTACGATAAAACGCCAGAATGGCGTTCACGGGGGACTCAAAAGCCCCTTTGAGGACCGTAAAACGTGTACAATTCGGAATTCTAAGCCCCGATGAAATCGTAAGTAAAATACAATACTTTTAAAACAACAAAGTTTTTAACTGTTGCAGTGTCCATCTTGAAAAGTTTTCAACTAACTTTTTTAAGGCTCAGAACAACAACAAAAGTATAAATAAATTATTTTTAATGAGAGAAAGTGAAATAAAGTGGTTTAAAGTAATTTAAAAGCGTTTTTATGTTGGTTTTTAAGTTTGAATTAAACCTAACCTTAATATTTAATCAAAACAGCTGTGTTGGTGTCTCCCTTTCCCTCTTTGTACACTGTATAGTTTGTACTTGTTTTTACTCAGTGAGATGTGCAAGAGTGGTTTTTAAGGAGTTCTGTTGTGCTCATAGTGAGCATATTTATGTATTTAAACGTTGAAAGCTCTTGTAAATGCTTAAATTATTGTTTGTTTTTATTTAGTACATACTAGAGTACAGATAATTTCAAGATAGAACATGAATATTTACAAAAAATCGTGTTTTTTTGGTAGTTCTCTCCATTTACTAATTTTACATGATTTGTCTTTTCTAGCGAAGAATGTCTGTCACAGAGGGTGGCATTCGCTACCCAGAAACGATGGAGGCGGGACGTCCCAAATTGGGGGGTCTCATGGACCCCCGGCAGGGGGTAATAGATCGTCAATCCAGGTGTCAGACTTGTGCCGGCAATATGACAGATTGCCCGGGTCATTTTGGGCACATAGAACTGTCAAAGCCGGTGTTTCATATTGGATACATTACGAAAATCATTAAGATCTTGAGATGTGTCTGTTTCTATTGCAGTAAATTGCTTGTCAGTCCTGTAAGTATGGTTTTTCTTTGTTTTTTATTTATTATTAATATTTAATTGCCAGTAGGTTACATGTTTGTTTAAGTTACTTGAAGAATATAGGTAATATAAATAAAAAAGTCGTTTATTTTTAAAAAAAAGAAGACTATTTGCAGCAATTATGTAGGTACTGTTTTGATTGGTCTTAAAAATTAATAAAAAATATTCAAAGTATTTGTTTGTTTATTATTTACAAAATAATCTAGTAAATTTCAAGTCTGTGTCTTGGTTTACCAGTAAAAAAAATGATTTTGTGTAACTTCAAAATTGACCATTTTTTTTCAAAACTTTTATATAAATATATGAGAAATAATAAATAATACCTAAGTACACTTAAATATTTATAACAAAGAATGTGTTATTTGAAACTGAACCAAAAGAACTTTGTAGATAGACAAATAGAATGTTTATATTTTTTTATTCTGTAGGTACTTTAATTTCTTCTATCCAGAGTGTTTATTTTTATATTTTACATTTTTTGATACTACTCCAGAGAAATAAGGAGACATAGAGGCGCTTTATAACATTAAATAACATTACTGTCTAGTCTGTTGCAAAATCAGGATATTAAAATAAGATAAAGTAACATTTTCTAGTTATATTATTAATAAAAATAATAATATGTTATTGGTATTACTAAGCCATGCTTAGTAATACTGATAACTTACTATTATAGTCAATAAAAAAATACTTTTAAAAATAAAAAATTAAAAAAATTGCTTAGCCTTTGGCACTTCTAAGTTTTCTTATTTTTCTGGTATTGTGACTGTCTTGATTGAACCAGAAATCAGATGTCAGCTCTAAATATTCAAAATAACAATGCTCAAAAGTCAATAACAGTATCTTTTGCCCCAAAATGACGTCACATTATCTTTTTTTTTATGTTTTCCTCAAAAATATACACTGTACGTCATCTCTAGTTATATTATGCACTAATATACTGGGTGGCCCATGAATGCATGGAAGTCCAATATCGTCGTTGTTGACGAATATATGAAAAAATGTTTTGCATAAATGTTGCATGTATACAGGGTGTCCCAAAAAAAAGTAATGATAAAGTTGTAAGTTTTTTTCAAATTGCAACCCTTATTTTTCTGTACAAAATTAGCTTCACTATGAAGTTCTGCATATAGTATACTATTTTTGTTTAAACACTATGCAGCGTTGCCATGCTATTTCTTATTTTTCATAATCTAGAGTGAATTTGAACTTAGCTACATATGTTTTCCTAACTTTTTAGTGTGGTTGCAACATTTATTATGTTATATCTCATTTATTTTATAAGCAACACCCTTATATTATTTTTCTTTGAGACATTTTTTGTATTTAAAGTGTTCCTAAATTTTTAACGTTTTCTCAGATGTTTGCTTAGTGCTCTTTGAACGGTATTTTTATCAAAGCCACCTCATGGTTTTTTGTTCACTTGGAATATATTCAGTATTTTCTTGCCCCAATGTGACGTCACCTTATCCTATGTTGGCTTCAAGAACTTCGACTAAAACTCGGGTGTCTAGTGATATTATACTCTACCATTTTTTTTTTAAATCTATTTCAGTGCAATCCAAAAATTCGCGAGATTGTAATGAAAAGTAAAGGCCAACCTAGACGTAGACTGGCCTTTGTCTACGACCTGTGCAAGGGCAAGAACATCTGCGAGGGGGGTGACGAAATGGACATAAAAAAGGACGAACAGAACGACCCGAATAAAAAACAGAGCCACGGTGGCTGCGGTCGGTACCAACCGAGCATCAGACGTAGCGGTTTGGATTTGACAGCCGAATGGAAACATATTAACGAAGATTCGCAGGAAAAAAAGATACCTTTGACTGCAGAAAGGGTTTGGGAGATTTTCAAGCATATTACTGGTGAGTTTATGGTTGCAAAAAAAAATTGAACCAGTAGCCTATGACTTTAAACGTCCAGCGATGTAAAACTACATCTGTGGCCATGTCATATTGCCATTAGATATTACTAAAATACGAGATATATTTTTATAAATACACTTAATTCAAATAATTAGTTTTTTGACAGAAGGAAATAAATTTTCTGATTGTTTGACACTTAATGTCAAATGAAGCTAAATATACTTTAAAACTAAATCTTAATTAACATAAAAACGATTTATTTTAGGTATAGGAACATGTATAATCGAAAAGTAACGAATTGAAAAACCTTTTCATTGGTGAAATAAAAAAAGAGGGTTTCCATTTGAAAAAAAAAATGATTTATGATAATTTTTTAATCTCTCAATTCTATGACAGCTACGGCCAATATAATATGACGTTCATACAATTTAATTTTTGAAATATATAGCCACGTGTCTTCTCTTTATGTCCCAGTGGCTGTGGTAATCATCAAATTTGACGTTTAGACTATATACGAATTTTTTTGACAGGCAGTTTTTTTTCTGCCAAAAATTTTAAATATTTTTTTTTCTCAAAAACAGTTAACGTTAGGTATAGGGTGTTTGATATCAGGATTCATAAAATTTTACAGAGAATTTAAGTATGTAATAAAAAATGGGGGTACCCATTTAAAATAAGAAAGTTTCTGTCAACTTCCGGTATTTCCGGAAGTGCCGCCATATTGAAAATATTTTTAATTGATAGACTTCATTGTGAAACAATAATGTACTAAAAAAATCTCCGATCTAGATATTGTAGTTCTTTAGAATCTTCTAATGCGCGCTCAGCCTGGTTCGGCCTTTATATTGAAATATAGGCAATAAGTTTTTTTCACAAAAAAAATACTTGAAATAAAATCATATCTAGAAACAGGGAGGTTTTTTTTTCGTTCTGGATCATAATTAGCACAGCATGGAGAAAAAAGGTAGGTAGAAAAAAATACACGAAAAGCTACAGAACAAGCTAACACAAAAAAAAACAGTTTTTAACTAGTTTTTTATTCTGTAGTTCACCACATCGAAATTTAGTTCAGAAACTCTAATTAAAAATGTCGGGAATTTGCGGGAAATACTCTAAACTGGGAAAAATAAAAATTTCCCCAGCGCGGGTGTGCCTTAAACGAGATTTTTTTTAGTTTCGAAAAAAAATGTCTAGAAAATTATGAGAATAAAAAAAATAATATGTATTTACAGAGAAAATTTCACTGGATTACCTCATACTTCCTTTATTTTTTGTTATTTTTAGTAATTCAATGACTTAAATTTGTTTAAATTGCTGTAAAATGTACCGTATGATCGAAAAAAACCGCGTCAAGACACAGAAATCTATTCCGAATTTTCTTTTCGAATACCGCCAAAATTATCAGCGATTGTCATTCCCAGCCGTCTTTGATACGGTTTTTTTCGATCGTATTGTACTATTTGTCCAAATTTGTCACTGTATCGATATTTTTTTGCCTATACCGGGTGCGTCTCGAAAGTGTCTCTCTTTTTTATTTTTTCAGATAAAAAAACGAGATTTGGTATGTTAGTATATGACAAAAATTAGGATTGATTGGCAACTTCAATTGTTTTTGGTCACTTCCTGATTTTTAAATGGCACCCTCGGTATATTTCTACTTTATTCGATAGAAAATGACACTTTGTATAGATTAACTATCATATGTGAACTTTTGACATTTTCTCTTAAAAAATCGTATTTCAAATATCAATCTAGAGTGTCATGGCTGTGTTATGAAGACTAATTTTTAATCAAGGAGCCTTAGAAAAATAATTTTGATCGCCTAATGTTTTTCTTGTCTTGTCCTGGCCGGTTAAAAGATGCCCAAATCGTATTTTTAATCATATCTCAATTTTTTCAAATGGAACAAGGGTGGCTCGTTAGCATATTTGGAAAAAGCATTTTTTTACGAATAATTTGATACCACACACTTGGTATTTCGAGTCAAATTATAATTATAAACCGCATGTTACAATTTCAAATAAACCACAAACATGCGAAAATGTCAAAAGTTGACATATGATATGTCATTCTATTTCAAGTGACACTTTCTAAGGAATAAAGTAAAAAAATACCGAGGGTTATAGTCATTTCCGGTGAAACAGGAAGTGATCAAAAACAATAAAATTGAATACGTCTAATCAATCCTAATTTATGTTGTATGTATTACTAACATACAAAATCTCGTTTTTTTTTTATCAGAAAAAAAAATAAAAAGTTATAGGGATGAGGCACTTTTGAGACGCATCCGGTATTTTGATTCATTCTAACTATCGATATTACCGGAGGTCTAGCACATCCCTACTCCTAACCATATTTGCCTGGAATCTAAAATAGAAGAATCTATCGAAAAATTCCGAAATTCTCGCTATCCGGGCCAACTAAATAATCTTCTTTATAACCCAAACGGTTCGTTCTAATGGAATTTACGATAGTCTGGCCCTTAAAGCGTTCGCCCAATAAACTTTTATACCTTATTGGCCCTTTCCAGGGCCACAGATCGGAAACATTTGGCTTCGGATCCATAAAAATATGTATCTATTGTTATTGGGTCTCTTTGTCTCGCGTTTGTCAGTTCAAACCCTTATTAAATCTTATCAGTTCTTGTAGTAAGTTGAACCGTTGTTTAGTTTATCACTAGATCGTATACCGGGTATTGCATTATACCACTCAAGTTATTTCTACTTATTTCACTTTGTAGCGAGTAGCTGCTGCCTTTAAAAATTATATACTAAATATATTGTTTGTCGCTTTTAAATTAAGATTCGTCTCATAAATCCGTCACAATCTGGCAGCGCTGTCGCCATCGCTTGTCGCTCAAAGTTGATGACGTGCATCGGAAAATGTTTTAAAATTTCTATAGGGAATATACAGTAATTTACGAAATGCCGTAATGGCGTCACCAATCTCTTTAATCTGGTTGTCAAGTGATTGAGAGAGTTCGACAATATATGACGTAACGTTGAACGATAGCTGAACATTCTATATCTTAATCTTTTCTCTATAATTTTTATTTTTTTTGTAAACCTCGAAACAAATGAGATAACTGACTTTACTCTATCGTTGACTCACCCTGTACAAGTGAAATAGAAGCTTGCAAAGCTATTTTTTTTATCTAGTAGGTATATTAAATTTAAATATATTTAAAACATTCCTTTTGTCTTTGTTTGCCATCATTTCATTCCTCCCACAACATAAAATTGCATTCTAGCAATTCCAATTTACTATCTGCATACACATACCTACGTATTCTACGTACACAAGCGCATATCCAGTTTGTTATAAAGCATACGCCACCCGACCTTTCCAAAATTCGTTTCAATCCAGAGTTATTCCCTATATTTCCACATATACGTCGATATGTGGATGCAAAGATGGGTCACAAAAGACGGTCCCCTGTGGATATTTTTGTGTATCGCTCAGCGCAATCCGGATTTACTATTTTTCTCGGTTTTTTTTCCAAGATTATTTGTGGAAAAACGTCAAGTTATAATAGCAACTGATTTTTTTATTGCTTTAGGGAAATTATTTCTCAGCTGTCATACTTTTATACCCGGTGCGTCTCAACAGTGGCTCACCCCTATACCACAGAATATACTAACGAAAAAGAAGCCCAAGTTCCTTGTAATAAATCGGTTCCATTTCCGTAACGCCATCTCTCGACAAAGCTGACATTTACTGGTTAGCCAAAAGGGTGCGGGGCCGGGGGGAATTGTAAAATACACTTTTTTATTTTAATTATTTTTATTCGCTATTTGCAATTTTATTTTTAAAACATATTATGTGAAACAATCACATAATATGTCTTAAAAATAAAATTACAAACGGAAACAAAAGGAATTAAATAATCTGAAAGTCTACAAAGTTTATTGATAAAAAGTTGGGCTATGCAAATTGATATATTAAGTATAACCTCTTTGGTATAACATTGTTAAACAAACATTAACAAATCATAACATATCAGATCATAGAACTAAAAAAAGTACTATTACATAAAAACAGGCGATACAATACTTCAAAATTAATTTTAACATAATATCAAAACCGAAAAATCAAACTGCAAACACAACCACACTTATCACAACAGAAATTAACACACACTTCCGCGGCAAATGTCCAAGAAAGACTGATCATTCTGATTGGTCCTGGTCCGGTCGTAGCTCACGTCGTATTGTCGGTAAGCAAAATCCCTGTACAAAAATTTTGACGATCAGCGCCATCACCCGTCATAATTGGGAAATTTTTGCTGGAACCATTTTTAATATTTCACTTACATGGCCCTGCCCTATACTAACTAACTTTTTATTTTTACAGTTAAAATAACGAGATTTGGTATGTTAGTATACCGTGCTGGCAACTGTTACTTTTGGGTCGGCATTTACATGTGTGGAAGTAAATCGCATAGGGATCTTATTAAGTCGGAGTGAGAGAAATGCGACCAACTGACGCGACTCGCGATGGTGTGCTGTTGCGGCGTTGCCGATACGCCTTTCCCAATCAAGTAAAGTAAAATCACGATGGCAAATCGCTTATTTTTAAAAGACTTTTTTGCAAGAGATAACTAGATAAAATCATTAGACATGTTTCTGAGCATCTGAAATGGAATTATAAGGATATCGTTAGGGTGTCATTTTTTTTATAACGAGAAAACGTCAGTAATCGCGATAATTTAGAAACTCAACTTTTTAACACATAACAGGCCATAACTCAAGAACCACTTTAGATATTGAAACTTTTTTTTTATTTTCAAGATCGGATATTTTACAATATGTTTACATAAGAAAAATTCGATAAGGTTGTTTTTTCCATTCAAAAATTGGAAACAATCATATAACATCTATTTACTACTGTCTACAAAGAAAATACAGCAGAAATATTAAGAAAGTTCTTGAAAAAACTACAATCTACTATTGCTAATAGATTTCGAGATATCGATTTTTGAATTCAGAGTTCTAATAGCTCGACCACTATCGAACACCCACTCAATTCCACTTATTTTTACCAAAAATCCAAGTGTTTCTAGCTTGCACTTAAAAAATTCAAGCTATAGGGTAAATTACAACGACTAGTTAATAAATAAACAAATTAAGTATCACGAGACGTAATTAAATCGTGAAGCTGAACGCATGACGTACACCTTTTCCTAGAACTTTAAGTACTGACAGAGGTATTGATTGGGTCGACCGGTCAACTGTGACAAATCTGCTATATCCCTTCCACGTCTCTTAGCGATGTGCACAGTTTCTCGGTTTATTTCAGACGTTTGGCAACGTGTTTACTGTCCTCTCTTTGTTCGGTACATTAAAAACCTATTGTACTTTTCTTACATACGGAAATCTCGACCCAAGACTAACCTTTGCCAGCTCTTAGTGTAATTCAAATCAAAATACAGTAAAATTAAACCATCGCAAAACATTTATAAACAAAAATGATCAAGTTATGCTGACTGAATATAAGTTTTCAGTAGTTTTATTTGAATGTCTCGTTTTTTTACCTAATAAACTGCTTTGTATTTTTATCGTTGTATCTCTCTTGGTCGTCTTATTTCTACTACTTCGAAGTACAGAAAAAACGCATTTACTTTGGCTAAGTAGAGATATATTTTAAGCCTTGTCCCGCTAAGAATCTTTTGGACCGGAAATACAGACTCGACATGCTTCAGCCATAATTCAGACTGGCTCCGCTACAAACCCATTTCACCCGTTTATTTTATAAAGTATATACAGGGTGGACCATATTTTTTTTTTTGAGAAGAATTTTAATAATTTTCTGCTGTTGCTTTAAGCTGTCATTCTTGAAATATTGCCCAAATATATGTTTTTTAAACGGAACACCTTGTATATTATTGTTTATTTTATTTATCTTATTATGAGCTTTTGAAAAATATAATATACTCTACAGGGTGGTCCGAACTGTATTCCGGAAACTTCAGCAGCATATTCTGCAGATAAAAATAAGTAGAAAAGTTCGTATAAATGTATGTCCGAAAATGCTTCGTTTCCGAGATACAGGGTGTAGAAGTTTCATTTTGATTTTGATTTTTTCCAAACAATTTCTGAAGTAACTTCACTATTTGGATGGTGTCTGGAATACCGTTCGGATCACCCTGTATTTAAAGAATGACAGTTCCGTCGCTGAATTCCCCGTGAAAAACTATGAGACTCAGTTTTTACCTTTTCAATAAGTTATAAGATAACCGAGATACGAAAAATGTAACAAATTCTAATTCGCTTTGTATATCGGAAACCGATGAGAACTAGGACAAAACTTCATGCAGCATCTTTAATTTTATAAAAAAGTTGCACAGTGATGTGAAAATCGCATCTTTGTATCCCTACTCCCAAACGAGAATCGTCATAAAACTGGGTCACTTCTACATATGTTTCAAATTGGTCCACTCTGTATAACAATCGTTCCTATTCCATTTTCTCTATTCCAGACGAGGAATGTTTCGTCCTTGGAATGGATCCAAAGTACGCCCGTCCCGATTGGATGATCGCCACGGTGTTGCCGGTGCCTCCATTGCCAGTCAGACCGGCCGTAGTGATGAACGGCTCGGCCAAAAATCAGGATGACATCACTCACAAACTTGCCGACGTCATCAAGGTGAATGCCGAGTTGGAAAAGAACGAAACTTCGGGCGCTGCTACGCATATTTTGACAGAAAACGTCAAAATGTTGCAGTTCCACGTGGCAACGTTGGTGGATAACGACATGCCCGGGTTGCCTAGGTTAGTTTCGATTTTTTAAGGTTATTTAGTGTTTTTATATCTTTATCTAGAACTAAATCTAATTTTTTTTGAAGCGGATAACTAGATTGAGACGATTTAATATCTGGAGGTATCGAACTTTTATTACAGAGCGATGCAAAAGTCTGGAAAACCCCTAAAATCGATCAAGGCTCGCCTCAAGGGCAAGGAAGGTCGTATCCGAGGTAACTTGATGGGCAAGCGTGTGGATTTCTCTGCGCGTACTGTCATCACGCCGGATCCCAATCTGCGCATCGATCAAGTAGGCGTGCCCAGGAGTATTGCGCAGAACATGACCTTCCCGGAAATAGTAACACCTTTCAATTTTGAAAAGTACGAATTTTGTTATTTTATTGTATTATTTTTTAATTTATTTTGTGTTTCTTTTTTTAAATAATTTAGAATGTTAGAACTGGTCAGGAGGGGGCATTCACAGTATCCTGGAGCTAAATATATTATTAGGGATAATGGTGAAAGGATTGATTTGAGATATCATCCAAAATCTTCGGATTTGCATCTACAGTGTGGTTATAAGTAAGTTTTTAAAGTGGAGAGTCTATGGAGAATAGAGGTAAGGAGAATCATCTTATATGGGACATGTGCAATATCGTCGTTGTTGACAAAGAAATGAAAAAGATAGGAAAAGTATACGGGATGTCCCATAAATAAGTAATGATAAAGTTGTAAGTTTTTTAAATTGCAACTCCAATTTTTCTGTACAGAATTAGGCTCAGCATAAAAATCTGCGTATAGTACACTATTTTTATCTGAAGCTCTATGCGATGTTGTCATGTTATTTCTTATTTACTTAAACTTTTGTTCAAAACAGTATATCCAAAGTCTGGTAAGACCTTATTATTATTTAGCTATATTTTTATAAACACCAAGTATAATAAAACAGATCCAAGAAGGAAAAGTCTCATTATCTTATACAGGGTATGTTTTGTGGTGTGGGCAACATTGCTGTATATATTTTTCTTTTAAATGCAGAATGAAAATACGATTTTTTTGTGTTTAAGTGTTTCTAAATTTTTAACGGTCTCGCAGATATTCGTCGTGTTATATTACATACAATTTTTTTATTTATTGATTTTTCCTTTTGATGGTCATTTTTCACCAAGATAACTTCCTTATCTCTACCCTTCACAGTAAAAACAAAAAAGGTTATTTTTTAAATATACTATGTTTTTTCTTTAAATTTTTTAACAGGGTAGAACGACATATTCGTGACGGCGACTTGGTCATCTTCAACCGTCAACCGACCCTTCACAAGATGAGTATGATGGGTCACAGGGTCAAAGTCCTGCCCTGGTCAACCTTCCGCATGAACCTCTCTTGTACCTCACCATACAACGCGGATTTCGACGGAGACGAGATGAACCTCCACGTAGCTCAAAGCATGGAAACCAGAGCTGAGCTAGAGAACCTCCACATCACCCCCAGACAAATTATAACGCCTCAATGTAACAAACCTGTTATGGGTATCGTACAGGACACCCTCTGCGCTGTGAGGAAGATGACCAAAAGAGATGTCTTCATCGAGAAGGAACAGATGATGAATTTGCTGATGTTTTTGCCAATTTGGGATGGAAGAGTACCTAGACCCGCGATTTTGAAGCCTAAACCTCTTTGGACAGGAAAACAGTTGTTTTCTTTGATTATTCCTGGGAACGTGAATATGATCAGGACACATTCAACACATCCAGACGACGAGGATGATGGTCCATACAAATGGATATCGCCGGGAGACACCAAAGTTATGGTTGAAAACGGAGAACTGATTATGGGAATTTTATGCAAAAAATCACTTGGAGCTTCAGCTGGATCACTTTTACACATCTGTTTCCTTGAATTAGGTCACGAAGTTTGCGGAAGATTCTACGGAAACATCCAGACAACAATAAACAACTGGCTGTTACTAGAAGGTCACAGTATCGGTATTGGAGACACAATTGCCGATCCCATGACATACTTAGAAATCCAGAAAGCCATCAAGAAAGCCAAGGAAGACGTAATAGAGGTTATCCAGAAAGCACACAACATGGAACTTGAACCCACTCCCGGTAACACTCTCAGACAGACCTTTGAGAACCAAGTAAACAGGATTTTGAACGATGCTCGTGACAAAACCGGAGGTTCTGCCAAGAAATCTCTGACTGAATACAACAACTTAAAAGCTATGGTCGTATCAGGTTCCAAAGGTTCAAACATCAATATTTCCCAGGTTATCGCCTGTGTAGGGCAACAGAACGTTGAGGGTAAACGTATTCCCTTCGGGTTCAGAAAACGAAGCTTGCCCCACTTCATTAAAGATGATTATGGTCCTGAATCCAAGGGATTCGTAGAGAATTCATATCTAGCCGGTTTAACGCCTTCAGAGTTTTATTTCCACGCCATGGGAGGTAGAGAAGGTCTTATCGATACAGCCGTAAAAACTGCAGAGACTGGGTACATTCAGCGTCGTCTGATCAAAGCCATGGAGTCGGTAATGGTGAACTACGACGGCACAGTAAGGAACTCAGTGGGTCAGCTTATCCAGTTGCGTTACGGCGAAGACGGGCTATGTGGAGAAATGGTTGAGTTCCAGTCACTTCCAACCATTAAACTCAGCACAAAAGCTTTTGAAAAGAAGTTCCGGTTTGATCCAAGCAACGAACGTTATCTTAGAAGAGTTTTTAACGAAGATATTATCAAGGAAATCATGAGTTCTGGAGAGGTTATTGCTGAACTCGAAAAAGAATGGGAGCAACTCCAGAAAGACCGCGAAGCTTTAAGGCAAATCTTCCCCAGCGGAGATTCAAGCGTTGTACTTCCGTGTAACTTACAAAGAATGATCTGGAATGTACAGAAAATTTTCCATATCAACAAAAAGTCCACGACAGATTTGTCACCTCTGAGAGTAATCCAAGGTGTCAGGGAATTACTAGGAAAATGTGTTATAGTGGTGGGGGAAGACAGACTTTCAATCCAGGCCAACGAAAACGCCACTTTACTTTTCCAGTGTTTAGTACGATCAACTCTATGTGCTAAACTGGTTTCAGAACAATACAGACTAACCACTGAAGCGTTTGAGTGGTTGCTTGGTGAAATCGAGACGAGATTCCAACAAGCTCAGGTTAATCCAGGTGAAATGGTCGGTGCTTTAGCAGCACAGTCCTTGGGAGAACCCGCCACTCAGATGACACTGAACACCTTCCATTTTGCCGGTGTGTCATCAAAGAACGTAACCCTTGGTGTACCGAGACTGAAGGAAATTATTAACGTTTCTAAGAAGCCTAAAGCTCCATCTCTGACTGTATTTTTAACCGGTGCAGCTGCTAGGGATGCTGAGAAAGCCAAGAATGTTTTATGTCGATTGGAACACACTACTTTAAGGAAAGTTACAGCAAACACCGCGATTTATTACGATCCAGATCCACAAAATACTGTCATACATGAAGATCAAGATTTCGTGAATGTTTATTATGAAATGCCTGACTTTGATCCAACAAGGATATCTCCCTGGTTGTTGCGTATTGAACTGGACAGAAAAAGAATGGTAGATAAGAAACTCTCCATGGAACAGATCGCTGAAAAAATTAACGCAGGCTTCGGTGACGACTTAAATTGTATTTTTAATGATGACAACGCTGACAAGCTAGTGCTTCGAATCCGTATCATGAACGGCGACGATGGTAAATTTGGCGAAAGCGAAGAAGATGTTGACAAAATGGACGACGATATGTTTTTGCGATGTATTGAGGCTAACATGCTCAGCGATATGACCTTGCAAGGGATTGAGGCTATCTCGAAAGTGTACATGCACTTGCCTCAAACCGATTCAAAGAAAAGAATCATTATAACCGATACTGGCGAGTTTAAGGCTATTGCCGAATGGTTACTTGAAACTGACGGTACTAGTATGATGAAAGTACTGTCTGAAAGGGATGTTGATGCTGTGAGAACCGCTTCAAACGATATATGCGAAATATTCTCGGTAATATTTTTCGAAAAAATCCCACTTCTGATGTTAACAATTAAATTTTTCGTTACAGGTGTTGGGTATAGAAGCTGTAAGAAAATCGGTAGAGAAAGAAATGAACGCTGTGCTCCAGTTCTACGGTCTATACGTAAACTACCGCCATCTGGCCTTGCTTTGTGACGTAATGACCGCTAAAGGCCATCTTATGGCCATCACGCGTCACGGGATCAACAGACAAGACACCGGTGCCCTCATGAGATGTTCCTTCGAGGAAACTGTGGATGTATTGATGGATGCTGCGGCTCACGCTGAAGTAGACCCGATGAGAGGTTTGATTTTCGTTTTTTTTGTATACATACTATATAAATTATGTTTTCTGTTTTTTTTTTTCTGGTTAGGTGTGTCGGAAAACATTATTATGGGTCAGTTACCACGAATGGGAACGGGTTCCTTTGATCTTTTACTTGATGCAGAGAAATGTAAGATGGGAATGCCCATTCCGCAAGCTCAAGGTGCCGAAGTGGGTTCTGGAATATTCTTCGGGTCTGCTGCAACTCCCAGCATGAGTCCTGGTGGTGCTATGACGCCTTGGAACCAGGGAGCTACTCCGTTCGTTGGAAATGCCAGTGCCTGGTCGCCTCACAGTAAGTTTTTAGGTGTTTTTAAAGGTTTTTTTAGTATTAATGAATTTTATTTTGTTTCAGATTTAATGGGAAGTGGTATGACTCCTGGAGGACCTTCATTTTCGCCTTCGGCGGCTTCAGATGCTTCAGGAATGTCTCCAGGGTACGGTGCATGGTCTCCCACTCCTCACTCTCCGGCAATGTCCAGTTTCGGCCAGTCGCCAAGCTACTCGCCTTCGAGTCCGGCATTCCATCCTTCCTCTCCTATGACGCCAACTTCTCCGGTGTATTCTCCCACTTCTCCTGGACTGGTTCCTAGTCCAGGTTACGGGCCTAGTAGTCCGGGATATTCCCCAACAAGTCCTCATTATTCGCCTACTTCTCCCAGTTATTCGCCGGCCAGTCCGAGATATTCTCCCACTTCTCCGAGTTACAGTCCGACCTCTCCCAGTTATTCGCCTACTTCTCCGTCGTATAGTCCGACTTCTCCGAGTTATTCTCCCACTTCGCCTTCTTACAGTCCGACTTCTCCGAGTTATTCGCCTACTTCGCCTTCGTACAGTCCGACATCTCCGAGTTATTCGCCTACTTCGCCTTCGTACAGTCCGACTTCTCCGAGTTATTCACCAACTTCTCCGTCGTACAGTCCGACTTCTCCGAGTTATTCACCAACTTCTCCGTCATATAGTCCGACTTCTCCGAGTTATTCGCCTACTTCTCCTTCATACAGTCCGACTTCTCCGAGTTATTCTCCAACCTCGGCAAATTATTCGCCGTCTTCTCCGAGTTATGCGCCTTCAAGTCCAAGATACACGCCGGCTTCTCCCAGTTATTCACCTACTTCTCCGAGATATTCGCCTTCGTCTCCGCAATATTCTCCGACTTCTCCGAGTTATTCACCGACCAGTCCGGCGTATTCGCCCGCTTCTCCGAAATATTCTCCGGCTTCTCCCAGTTATTCTCCATCTTCTCCTCAATATTCCCCAGCTTCTCCGACTTATTCGCCTACCAGTCCTAGTTATTCTCCGAGCAGTCCTCAGCATACACCTGGGAGTTCAAAATATTCTCCATCTTCTCCCAATTATTCGCCTACTTCTCCTCAATATTCGCCTCAAAGCACCAAGTATAGTCCTACTTCTCCTACTTATACGCCGACAAGTCCGAGTTACTCACCAGGATCACCAAGTTAAAGTGTCTTTATTATTATATTATCTTTATTTTTATGTGAGATTTAGTGGGTCTTGTAATAGTTATATACAAGAAAAAAAAATATTTTGCTTCATATATAAATAATGACATAAAAAAAGTTTTGTGATCGTTTTAAAACTTAGTAGATTTATTAGTAATTTAACATTAAGCTAGTTAGTTTTATAATTCATATTCTTAAATGTATGGATTGGATTAAATAGAACTATAAATATATTTTCTAGTTTTAGAATGTTGTTTTATTTTTGAGTCCCTGATTTGCTTTAGGTTGCTGTTTGGTATTTTTATTCAGTGGTTTTTAAATTTACTATTTTAAATTTTAATCTAGAGTGCCATGACTGTTTTAAAAGCACTAATTTTTAATCAAATAGTCTTGGAAAAATAGATTTGATCGTTTAATGTTTTTTGTGTCTTGGTCAAATCGTATTTTTAATCATATCTCAATTTTTTCAAATGGAACAAGAGTGGTTCATTGGCATATTTGGAAAAAGCATTTTTTTACTAATAATTTGGAACCACACACTTGATATTTCGAGCCAAATTGTCGTTACGAACCGCATGTTAAAATTTGAAAAAACCCTATGCGAAAATGTCAAAAGTTGACATATGATATGTCATTCTATTCAGTGTGTCATTTTCTATCGAATAAAACAAAAAAATACCGAGGGTGTCATTAAAAAATCAAAAGTAGTAATTTCCGGCGAAACAGAGTGGCGAAAAACAGTTGAATACCGTCAATCAATCCTAATTAACGTCATATTCTATCATACCAAATCTCGTTTTTTTATCTGAAAAAATTAAAAAGTTATAGGGGTCAGCCACTTTTGAGACGCACCCGGTATACAGTATTTTATATAATAATTTTGAACTGTTCATCTAATAATACTGTTTCTAAAATGGAGAATAAAAATATGCCTACAAAAATACATTTCAATATAACGATATACCACTCTTCCGATTGTTGTGTTTATATCGATATTTATCAATAATCGATACTTATGGAAATGCCTATTGTTACATCGATATATATGTAGGTGCTGCTATATCGATAATTTAAAGTCACCCATTGTTGTTCGATAACTATCGATATATCGAAAAAAGTTCCATCCCTAGTTACAACCCTGCAAAAATTATACTCTTTGGTTTTTAATATACAAAGGATCTATTTTACTGGTATTAGTGTATTTTAGGGGGTTCAATATTTAAAAAATAATAAAATTATGTATATTTTTAACTTCCTGTAAAGAAGTTAAATTTATTTAAGTTATAACACCTCTAAAATTGTTTTTTAAAGGGAGACTAAATAAATTATACCCTGTAAGTGGTAGATTATGGAAAGATAGATAGATAGACTTCCTTTTGATGAAAAAAATCCTAAAAAAGAAGAGTAGGCATTATGGAATTAAGGGCTGAACCGGAGACAAAAAACTGCGATACTTTTTTTCGTGAAAATGGCAAGATAAAAAGTGAAAATGAAATAAAAATAGATTCAGCCTTTTAAAAGAAAAGTCTGCGGAGAATAAATAAAAAATTTACGATTATTCGATTGGAATTTAAAAAAGAATCATTTTTGTCTCGACAAAAATACTAGAATTGGGTATTACACAGTATTTATATACAGGGTATTTCATATGGATAGGATGTAGATGCAGATTAGTGGAGTGTTCGTTCCTTTTCTAGCTACTACTTACTCTTTCTCTTTTACTTTTTTACTTTTACTCTACATACTCTTTTCTACTACCCAAACCTGGGTAGGAGAACTTTATTTATTTCTTTGTCTAATTTGTTCAACTTATCTAGATATTCTTTGATCAACTTCGAATTCATGGTTACTGGGTTGATCGCTTTTAATACTACTTTACTCTCGTATAAGATGGCTATTTCTTGTTTCCCGATAGTTCCTCTATCTGAGATAATATAGCAGTTTTATTTTTTTTATCTGAGACGTCGAACTTTTTATCTACTGCATTTCCTATTCGAAAAAAGCGTAAATAAATAAAAATACAGAATACACACACGCATCCAGCCCCTAACTTACAAATTTTAATAAAAATATGCAAAAATCTCGAAATTTGTACATTTATATTCAACCCGAAGACCCATTCTCTGATATCTTGTGTGACTCGAAAATTCTGAAGACACCGAAAAAAAAGTATGTGGAAATGAATAAGTTAAGGGATATCAAAGGAAAGTTTACCCAAAAAATCTGGGTAGGGGAAGGTTTTGCTGTGGAATGTCGCGAAGGTAAAACGCTGATAGAGGATGGTGGAGTAAAGAGGGACATCAGAGGTATTTTCTTTTTGTTTGATGAATATGAAAACGCTGAAAAAGGTTATATTTTTTGTTCAGTGTGTTTTAAGATATAACAATAAAAAAATCAGTATTAAAAATTCTTATACAAGTAGGTACTTCTTGTGATTTATATTTATTTTTATATATTTTTTTCTTTTATGTTCGAAGAGAAGTGTTTTTTCTTGGTAATATTTTTATTTTTTGCCTGTTTTTATTATGGCTCTCCACACAAAATAAAAGACATGAATCTTCTTTATTATTCTTGAACGGTGTAAAACAAGAATAAGCAACTTATTTTGAAATGAACTATAAATCATAAAAGAATTCAGTTAGTATAACAGTTTCACTATAATAAAAATAAATTAAAACAACATTGTAAAAATGCATTTTATTTAATTGTAACAAGTTTTTAACTTAGTAGAGTTTACTAATAATAACTTTTTCTATTAATAAAAAGAGAAAAATACGCACTAAATATGGATTTAAAGTATTACAAACATATTTTCAGCTTATAAAACTACTTCGAAAATTCGTACAACAAGGATTTTTAAACCAAATAAACATTAAAACACACTCTTATTATAAAGGTTTCGACCCTGTGCGCATTGTAATTTACTCCTCTACAACATAACACTATAATAAAATGGTTTTACAACTCCACAATACTATTCAGAAGAAATTAATTATGCTGTCCCAACAACTCCAGCTTAACATTCAACGATACGCCCTTAACTTTTCTTTTGCCCTTATGTCCATTCAACACAAACATACAGGAACTATACCCTTTTTTGTTTTCACCCTCTGCCCTTAGCGCTGCGGAAAAACCGCAAGGTCTGGATAAATTCTGGAAAGAGATCAACACACTGCTGTGCTTTAATTGCCTCAGCCTCGAAAGGACTAATCTAATAATCCAGTGGCGTTCCAGCTAACAAGAGAGTTCTGCAAATTTCGAGTTATAGCACTTTTATATTACACACAACCAAACTTATATAGGTTTACTCTTTATTTCTGGCTAAATTTCTTGCATGAATAAAAATTGGTATACAACTTTAAGATAAGGCTTTTTGTTCTAAATAAACATGATAATTAAGAATAAACGACTGCTGCGATTTATTTTCTTTTGAATTTTGTGTTCAGTGGTAAAATCACGATTGTCCGGTAATTTTCATTCGATCCAAAAAAAATAAAATAAATTCTTTATGTTGGATTAACAGATGTACAGAGGGGAAGAAATATTGCTCTCAGCGAACAAGGAATGCTCCAAAGAAACGTAGTAGAGATAGTAGGCGTTACCCAGGGTGTTGTATTGAAAACATATGCAAGGTACTTGGAATTAGGAACACAACACAAGGATAGGCCCAGACAAAGTCGTCAGAGAGTCACAACTGAACAACAAGACCGCCTTGTGTACCAAATTGCTAGAATAAATCTCTATGTTTCTCATCCAGAGCTACAACGACAACTTGTGGCAGCTACAAGAGTGAACGTTTCAGTTGAAACCATAAGAAAAAGGCTTCGTGCTCGAGGGTTTTACAGTAGGAGAGAGTTACGGATCCCACAGTTTTCTCGGCAAAATAAAATTGACCGGCTAAATTGATGCCTACAACATAAAATCTGGACAAATGAGAATTGGCAAAATGTTCTTTTTTCGGATGAGATCAGAATTGGCCTAAGATCAGATAACCATCGAATTCGGGTTCTCAGAGCTCCAGGAAGACGAGCGACACCTCAGGCTGCCAAATCTGTATCAAGATATACAGGTGGAACTGTAATGTTCTGGGGAGGTATTATACTGGGAGCAAAAACTCTATTTTTACCACTTCAACAAACTTTAACGGGTCGGAGATATGTTGATTTGATGCTAGAACCAATTATTACTCTTTAGAGATCTGCAATTGGAGATAATTTTAACTTCTTGTACGATAGTGCACCTCCCCATATCAGCAGAGTGACTAGAGAATGCCTTGAAACGGAAGGTGTCATAGTTTTGGACTGGCTTGCATGTTCAGCAGATCTAAACACTATTGAACGCTTGTGGGACTACCTCAAAAGAAGGGTTAAGAAGGGTTAGAGCTAGAAGGGTAAGGACTGAGTGTTATTCATCAACACAAAATTGGGGACACCCTGTAGAACTCTCTGTATTTTTAAACAGTGCTCTGAATTAACCTTTATATGCTCACAAAATTCCATTTCAATAGAAACTGTCGTTCTCCTTGGAGCCTCCGAGGCGTATCAGAGGCGCCACCCTAACTACGCCACTGGAAAATACAGCTAATAAAGAGTAAATAAACCCCGTTTTGATATTGCCAAGAATGGGGGCGGAATAATTATAAATTTGCGAAGCATCACTCCGAGGAGAATGTCGATACCGACACGGAATTTTCGCAGCAAAGTTTTCCATTCTGGCGAAAAATAAGGAAATAAGTTTCCCAGACGTTCTGTGCTCGAGCCGAGCCCTTTTTCCAATAAGGGCTCTCCCGGATTAGTCGAGTGCACACTGGGTTTTGGGACGGCTAAATGGGAAATAAAAGAAAATCATTGGAATAAAAGAAAAATACGATTTTTTGGAATATTTTCTGGAAAAGGTATATCTACCAGTTCTTTTATGCGTTTAAAGAATAATTGGTTTAAAAAAAGAGGTTCTCTTTTATTTTTAGAGGGTTTGAATTCGATTGTGTTTTTTTTTAAACGTTTTTGTTTAATTGAATAAGTTATTCTATTTTTGACATATTGAATCTGAAAAATATTGTTTAATGCCGTTTAACCATCGAAACTTTTTCAAAAGTTGCGAAAATCACAAATCTTTGTAATCAAAATGTGACATCGAATTTGACAATGACAATAGCTATTTATGTAACAAGTTGCGAAACGAATGAGATTTTTTGTGAATGCGGAGAATTTGAGATTTTCATGCTATTATTATTATTTATTTTTAAA